TTGTTGGTAATAAATTCTATTGTATATGATTAATGGTCTACTGAGGTTGATTGATCAAGTATATTTATTTTGTATGGATAACACTGGTGGAATTTGTACTCTCAACATAGTTTCCACGACACAGGAAACATTATGTAGCAGTAATTTAGCATCATCAAGAGTGAAGTATTGCGAATATTTCAGAATTTCTTTAGGTGTTTATTTCAGAAGCCAACACAGACGCAAGAAAAAGCTCGATGGCAAAGATTAATCGATTATCTTCCATATGTATTGATGAAATGAAGTATCTTTAAAACATATTATTGGTTTGTTTTCATTTTCACTAATAATAACGGATGACACGATTAACAAATTTACTTTACGTGTATGTATTTTATTTGAACGGGATCCAAAACACTTGGTGTTGGTAAACTAGCCTTGCAACGATATCAGAAGCATTTATAACGATTCGCTCCCGTGTCAAAAAACGTGTTCTGGCTGCGTTTGGGGCGATTTCTAGCCCTCAAATACAATTCAAACACCCGTAACTCTGAAACCAACCGTCCGATTTCGACCAAAATGTACCCGTACAAGTGGGCTATTAGTTTTGATTATAACTTACGATTGCAGTAATGTATCTCCAAAGACAACAGAGGGACAAGTGAAATTATATTTTCCACATTTTAGTTGCTATCTTCATCGGTTCTCTAGAGAACACAATGAAAGTTAGCCGTATGTATCTCAAACGTTAGCTGATCAGTTTCTGTTCTTCGGTGCATGTGAAAAGTATCACCGTTTGGTACATATCTTCTTCATGATTGTTAGAGGTAATTAAGATAGATGTTTGAACAAAGGGTTCTTCTGTTTTGAGATTCATGATACCCAAGTGATATTTTCTAATCTAAGAAAAAAGGTTTGGTGATGAATTTATCGGAAACTTAAAGACCTTCCAGTACTTCCAGTCGAAGAGCATTCGACTAGCAGTGATATGATTAATATTAACTAAAACTATTACTACTTTCATCAGTTATGTGACAGACACAATAGGCTAGATAGAACTAAAGCCAAGGAGCCTACATCGTTGCTTGCAACTATATTTGATGCTATGATTGTTCCTATGGTGTGTTATGGTGCAGAGGTATATGGTACCTCCTTCTTATTGAACTATTGAAGATGTTCAGTATAAAATGTATAAATGGTTTCTCAAAACAATGGTATGGTTTGGGGAGAATGTGGCACAGCCCCTCTCCAATTTGTCAACACCACAAGGGCTATTAAGTATTGGTGCAGGCTACTGCATTTGGATGAATGCAGACTGCCAATACTACCTAATGGATGACTCTGGCTGTACCACATGGGCTACTCATATTAAAGATATTCTGTTTAGACCTGGATTTGAATATGTGTGGTTAACACAAGATGTGGGAAAAGTGAATATATATATTCTCCTTTTTAAACCATGATTATTTAACAACCTACAACTATCATGGTGTTGTTCTATCAACAGTTTATCTGATTCCTTCTATTTATATTCCATAATGTGTCCGTTTCCGATTACATAAAAACAACTTTATCTGTATCTAGAGTGGGATGGGTAATGGGGTACATTCAGTTTTATTTTTATCATAGTCATGTGATTTTACATATCCAGAAAATAACAGACATCACGCAGATGTTGTAATGCTATGGTCACTGAAGATCATTATGTCCATTCCATCACCATGATCAACCTCATGCAAAATGGAAGAATGGAAATGGATGTTATTTTGAAATGATATATGCAAAATGAGTAAAAATAATAAATATATTCTTCTTCACATACATTGTCAAAAATAAAAGGTTGAATTAATCAGTTATGTGTTACACATGTATTAGATCTATTTATTATTGATTACATAATGTTGTAAACAACAATTTTCTAGTTACTATTACTGGGTGTTCAGTTTATTTCCAGCATACAACAGGAGAAAATGGGACCAAATCATCGAATTACACGTCATCAACTATGTTAAAATAAAGATGCTAACTATATTCAATCAATGTGGTCGTTCAGATCCATGTTTTATGTGTACGATTTTGACACAATAGCGAGCTGGCAGGAAATATCAACGCACATGTCGGTGTTGAAAATGGGGTCTTTGTTATTGTAACGATTTTCGTGTCTCGAACCTGCATAAATAACGTTTTTGTAAACGGAAAGATTTACGGAAACTGTCGATGTTTACCGAAGAGAGGCCAGACATTTGTTCAAAGCAGAGGGTAGTGCTAATGCGAGGGTCAGTGTTCAAATATCAAAAGCGGGTAGACAAATTGAATACAATGAGCAGAAAGGTAAAAGAATAACCTACAAGCTCAAAACAATGTTTTGTGAAAAACGTAAGTTTTGATTGAACCGCACGTTAAAATAGTCGGGCTGTCCGGTTTTCGATAAGGTTTTGAGCATCGCGAGTGTCACCCTTTGAGTATTGTATGTAATGAGTGTAGCGGTAGAATTTTCTTAAAAATTCATTTCTTCACCGATCTCGTTCCAATTTGAAATATAAGTTAATCATACCATAAAAAAACAATATACGATTGCAAAAGTCTAGATTTTTATTTGTATTGTCCAAACAGTGATTCGAACTCCTGTGGTTATATAATGCATACTATAATCAATATTTTAACAAAGCGCGACAGGCGACAATGCGACAACGCGACATTTCATCAAAATGTCGCGTTGTCGCGTATCACGTGTCGCGTATAAATACGTTATCATACATACTGTACTCAATATTTTAACAAAACGCGACACGTGACGCACGACAACGCGACAGTCGCGTTTTAGTAAATACGTTATAATACATACTGTACTCAATATTTTAACAAAACAAGACGCGGCGACAACGCGACATTTCATCAAAATGTCGCGTTGTCGCATTGTCGCGTGTCGCGTTTTAGTCAAATACGTTATAATACATACTGTACTCAATATTTTAACAAAGCGCGACACGCGACAATGAACAACGCGACATTTCATCAAAATGTCGCGTTGTCGCATTGTCGCGTGTCGCGTTTTAGTCAAATACGTTATAATACATACTGTACTCAATATTTTAACAAAGCACGAGATGCGACAACGCGACATTTCATCAAAATGTCGCGTTGTCGCATTGTCGCGTGTCGCGTTTTAGTCAAATACGTTATAATACATACTATACTCAATATTTTAACAAAACGCGACACGCGACAATGCGACAACGCGACATTTCATCAAATGTCGCGTTGTCGCATTGTCGCGTCGCGTTTTAGTCAAATACGTTATAATACATACTATACTCAATATTTTAACAAAACGCGACGACGCGACAACGCGACATTTCATCAAAATGTCGCGTTGTCGCATTGTCGTGTCGCGTTTTAGTCAAATACGTTATAATACATACTATACTCAATATTTTAACAAAGCGCGACACGCGACGCGCGACAACGCGACATTTCATCAAAATGTCGCGTTGTCGCATTCTCGTGTGTCGCGTTTTATTAGTTACCGCGGAATTTCAAAACTATTACAAGGATGATTATGTTTAGATGTTTTTAAAGGGCTAAGATACACAGGGATCGAACTCAGAGTAATAATAAATGTGGCCGTGAAGTCTGTGGGTTCAGAGTTCTTGGTTAATGGAATGGATGAGTTGAAACTGGCCATTTTGCTGAAAATTATTATGATTGAGTAGGTGTATGTTTGAAACGATGCAAGTACATGTGTATCGCTTGGTATATTATTATTATTACAAATAATATAGGATTCAAATAGAATTGAAAAACAGACATCACAACACATTATTGTAATGAAATATCTTGCTAATTTACCAAGTTCCCTAAACCTTGAGTGAGTGAGTGAGTGAGGAGTGAAAGGTGAGTGGGATGGAGCGGAGCGGAGAGGGAGGGAGGAGAGGAGGTAGGAGGAGGGAGGAGGAGAGGAGCGGAGAAAGAGGAGAGAGCGGAGAGGAGAGGAGCGGAGAGGAGGAGAGGAGAGGAGGGAGAGGAGAGGAGAGGAGGGGAGAGGGAGAGAGGAGAGGAGAGGAGAGGAGGGAGAGGAGAGAGGAGAGGAGAGGAGAGGGAGGAGGAGAGGAGAGGAGAGGAGGAGGAGAGGAGAGGAGAGGAGAGGAGTGGAGAGGAGGAGGGAGGAGGAGAGGAGGGGGAGAGGAGAGGAGGAGAGGAGAGGAGAGGAGAGGAGAGGAGAGGAGAAGAGAGGAGAGGAGAGGAGAGGAGGGAGAGGAGAGGAGAGGAGGAGAGGAGAGGAGAGGAGGAGGAGGAGAGGCAGAGAGGAGAGGAGCGGGAGAGGAGGGGTGCGGAGAGGGAGGAGAGGAGAGGAGGAGAGGGAGAGGAGAGGAGGAGGAGGAGAGAGAGAGGAGAGGAGAGGAGAGGGAGAGGAGAGGAGAGGAGGAGAGGAGAGGAGAGGAGGGAGAGGAGAGGAGGAGGGAAGAGGAGAGGAGAGGAGAGGAGAGAGGGAGAGGGAGGAGAGGAGGGGTGGAGAAAGAGCGGAGTCGCATTGTCGCGTGTCGCGTTTTAGTCATATGTTATAATACATACTATACTCAATATTGTAACAAAGCGCGACACGCGACAATGCGACAACGCGACATTTCATCAAAATAGTAAATTTTTAGGCTGTTTTTACACATCTTACATAGGGCGACGCACGACAACGCGACATATTTTGACCTTGAAAATTGTCGTTATGTCGCGTGTCGCCCTTTGGAGGAATGAAAAAATATATTATTCAAAACGCAAAACGCGACATCGCGACAATGCGACAAATGGGCGAAATGTCGCGTTTTGTTTAATTTTGCTTGTATTTGAGAGGGCGACAACGCGAGAATGCGACAACGCGACAATGTCCCTTCCAGGATTCCATATGTACATGCTAAAATTGACTTCAAATGCAGCGATGAATATGAAATTATTAAATGTATTACAGATTTGAGCGAAAATGGGCGGCACTTTATTAGTAAGAAACCTTTACAACCTCTATGTTTCAGGTTTGGGCATGTCACTAGCAGGAACTGGAGCAATAGTTGTTCTAGGATACTACTTTCATGAAAATGCAGCCATCGCTTCAAGTATCTGCTTCACCGGAGCGGGAATTGGAATATTTGTTCACCCAGCGCTTGTCCAGTTCCTTCTTGAGACCTACGGATTTCATGGAGCCTATCTTATAATGGGAGGAATAACGTTCCATGCCTGTGCAGCCGGGATGCTAATGCGGCCACCTGTTGCTGAGAGGACAAGAAAACAACATGTCTTGGGTGGTCAAACTCTGAGGAACAAGATTTTGCTTTCAATGTGTGGAACCTCGACGATGATTTTCAGTGTTATTCAAAACGTATCATTCCTACTTTTTGTAGGCGGCATTTTGTGTTTTGCGCTTGCTGTCTCGACACAATATCAGTTTCTCCCTGAATTCTTTATAACACAAGGGTCTACATTAGAAGAAGCATCGTTTGTTGTATCAGCGTCCGGTGTAGGAAGTATCTTCTCGCGATTTCTCGTTGGATTTGCCGCAAGTGACGAGAGGATCGGTGGTGCCACAATATTTTCCTCCATCAACGGGATCATGGCTGTTTTCGCATTCCTTTTACCACTGTTCAAATCATCAACTTATCCAAGAATAGCATATGGAATAATCCTTGGGTTATATACGGGGGGTACGTGGGTTCTTATGGCTACTTTGACTCTGGACATTCTTGATCTTCAAAACTTTGCGACAGGCGTGGGTATCGGAAGGTTCTTGTGTGGCGCTGGCTTCTTGGTTGGCCCTCCCATCGCAGGTAAGAAACAGCATGGAGGATGACCGTTGAATAAATCGTTATGTATTTCCATCAGTACCAACTAACTTCATTCAGATCGATGGATCTAGAAAACACAGGGGAATGACTACGTCCCCTGTACCCCATGACTATCGAATTCCCGAAACGACTTTGCTAATGACATGTCTTCATGATTCTCCCTGGATAGTCTAGTGGTTAAAGCGTTCGCTCGTCACGCCAAAGGCCCGTGTTCGATTCCCCATATGGTCGTGTGTGAAACCTATTTCTAGAGTCATTCGCTGTGATATTGGAACATTGCTAAAAGCAGCGTAAAAACCAACTCACTCTCTCTCTTTATTCCCCTAAAATAATGCTCTGCACCCTACTGTATGGAAATGTCGGTTGCGTCTGGACTATACATCATTAATCTACTATAAAGATCATTTCTCCCTTAATCATAATGTGGGTAATTTTAGGAATCAAATACACGAAAACAGAACTATTACTATCTGAAGTTTGTAACTCATGACTATATTGTGTTTAATTATTCTGACTGACGTTATATTTCAGGGACAATGATGGAACAAAGCGGCGATAACAACAGTGCATTTTTGTTTTCGGGTAGGTCGTGACTTTTACTTATGATGGTGTCTCCGCTGGACAGTCTAGTGATTGATATGATGGACAACGATTCTTGTTGTCATGATACGTTGGCACGCACGAACATTTGATAGTTTTAAATACAAATCTCTGATACCCCATTTATTTCACTTTCCATTGTTAACTGTGAGTGTAGATAAGATTAGGCGTCACATCGGCAATATTTCAGAGAATAATTTCTATATTAAATATACATACATTTTGAAGATAGTGTTTATGGAAACTAACGCCAATCACCTTTGAATGTGTTGGCCCTGAGGACGGCCCTTTCACTGGTGCTATCACTGATTATATCTTCTCGCTGTCGTCATCATCTGATAAATATAATTTCTCTAAAAATTTAACATTTGTCATTGAAGGCTAGGATTTGCCTAGGCAAATCACAATGCAGTGTTTGTATATGAATGGCTTTCTCTTATATGGAATTTCACATCTTATTTACGTTTTGCAGTTCACTCTGAAAAATGCTTCACATATACAGTCTGCCAGTCGAACGGGTTCTTTACGGTGTGTGTGTGTGTGGGTGTGGGGGGGGGGTTTGCCTGGTGGTCACAGCGTTCGGATGTCAAGCTGAAGATCCGGGGTCGATTCCCCTAATTGATACAAAAATTGAATGTATTCAGCCCGTCTCCAGTGAAAGCATAAACTTGCTGGAATATTGCTGAAAGCGGGGTAAAACTCATTCACACTTTTCCAAAGAGGACATTCTGAGATATGAAATTGTAACACTGACCAGTGTTGATGAGATATTCCAGTGAGAGTTCGCTAGCTTTTACTATGTTTCATGTTAGTCCCCTTGTGTTATGAAATGTCATCATTTGTGTCTGTCTGTGCAATTACTGATTATAATTACAAACCAGTTGTTGTAGGGCGTCAGTACACCGTTACACACTTCTTTCATCGTATGTTAGTTGCTCACAAAGCAATATTTCATCAATATGGCGGCGGTCTGAAAAATCGAGTCTGGACCAGATAATCAAGTGATCAACAGCATGAACATCGATCTGTGCAATTGGGATACGATGATAAGTTAGCGAGCCTAAACTCTCGTTAGTTGCCTCTTACGACAAACATTGGTTGCTGAAGACCAATTCTAACCTGGGTCTTCACGGGCCTGCGTCGTTAATACACTGCACCCAACCCCTACACCATTTATATGTCTGTACCAGATCAGTTTTTTGACAATGTCAATACCTTGTACATATTTGGTCGTATAGTAATTTCCGATACATGTTCATGCCCATTACAAATATTTAATTCATATTGCATATACATAACATGCTTTACTATCAGTTACATTAGGACGCTGATAAATGAGACAACTTGGGGATAGAAAAACAAACAAACATGCAAAAATGCTTCTTAAATATTCCATTTGATTTAACATATTCCTTCGCAAAGTGACTCAGGATAATAGGGAATATAATTATTACAATCCAATCATTGAGATAATGAGAATCGATCAACGCAATCTGAAAGACAAATGGCGAGCCTCGGACACCAGATCCCGTTATCAGTCTCTTTACGACTAGCAAGGATTGCTTAAAACTAATTCTAACCGTATTTTCACTGGAGGGATATTTGTCATATCGTCATGTCTATGTACACAGATAACAAATGTTTTCCAACCTCTCATGCTTGCATTGTATGCACTGTTTTATCGTGGATCTTAACGTTGTTTCCAGAGTGCAATGTTCTTCTCGGCAACTGTGTTTGGGTTTCTAATAATTCTGAAGAGGAGAGCCCTGGAACCCTCCTGACACTTCAGGACACCAAGAGCTTCTGACATTGCTGACCTTAAGGACGCTCTAGTGAATGCGAGTGAATGAGTTTGAAACGTACACCGCAACAGTATTGTGACGCTGGAAGGAACATTGTAAAACCACACACACCAAACGCAATTCAGTCATTCTGATTTCTTAAATATTTAACTTACCAACCCTTAGCTACTGTGGATTGTGTATTAAATAATCAGCTTCTCCTATATTCGACATATATTGGTGTGATCCACAAAGACATGCACAATAATATGCTTAGAATCGTACAGTCATACAGAATATTTTTTATGAAGCTTGTTTAAGTGTGATGGGTGGGTGGGGTTTGAGAGGGTGAGTGCTGTTTAGTTATTAAACAAACCAATTCAATATAAAACAAATAATTCTCAGAATTTTATTTTATATAAAATTACAACTTGACTATAGAGAACTAGCAGCCACAATCGATAATGGGGAATTTACGGTGTTTCTACTCTTACATCATTCCCAGCAGGATTTAGGCCATTGACAATACCATAGAGTTGATGTTGATGTGCATCAACACAGATGAGAGTGCCGTAACCAGTGTTGTATGTCATGTATAGATCGTTTCTTTGATGATGTCAATACCTTGTACATATTTGGTCGTGTAATTCCGATACATGTTCATGCCCATTACAAATATTTAATTCATGTGCATACATAACGTGCTTTACTATCAGTTACATTAGGACGCTGATAAATGGAACAACTGGGATGAAAAACAAGTGAAGCATGCAAAAGCTTTTTTAAATATTCCATTTGATTTAACATATTCCTTCGCAAAAGTAGGATAATAGGGAATATGATTATTATTCTGGTCTATTAAATGCTTAAACCATTTTGTTTGAGGTGGTTATTTGTAATGGAGCTGAGCAACTGCTCGCACAAGGTCTGACGCTGCAACTTTGCTCCCCTTTAGTGTTGTGGTTATTTAGTCACACTCTGATTTGATGACAATGGTCGTGTTTACGAATGAAGATCGAGCTTCCGTCCAGATATTTCATCCTCTCGACTTGTTGAGCGTAATAATTTTCAGTTACTGATTTAGTTACTGAACAATCCAGTGTTTCATTTTGAAGGTTGTAATTCTGTTCAGTGAGAACTTCTGAACTATTTCCAACTGTATTCATGTCCATTCCTATGATATTTCTCCGACAGCGTGGTTTTAATTCTTTCTAAGTTTGCTCCTTCGAAACATGCGGTGACGTTCTCAACCCTTCTGTTTGATTACACTCATTAGAATTCAAGCTACATCACGACTGTCTGCAACAACTGAGTCTGGCCAATCCAATCATTGAGATAATGAGAATCGATCAACGCAATCTGAAATATTGAAATGGCGAGCCCGGACACCAGATCCTGCTATCAGTCTCTTTACGACTAGCATGATTGTTTAAAACTGTACTCTAAACCGTATTTTCTCACTGGAGGGATATTTGTCATATTCGTCATGTCTATGTACACAGATAACAAATGGTTTTCCAACCTCTCATGCTTGCATTGTGGTATGCACTGGTTTTATCGTCGACCCTTAACGTTGTTTCAGGTGCAATGTTCTTCGGCAACTGTGTTTGGGTTTCTGTCAACTCTGAAGAGGAGAGCCCTGAACCCTCTGACACACTTCAGGACACAAGAGCTTGCCGATATTGCTGACCTTACGGACGTCGCTCTAGTGAATGCGAGTGAATGAGTTTGGAACGTACACCGCAACAGTATTGTGACGCTGGAAGGAATATTGTAAACCACACACACTAAACTGCAATTCAGTCATTCTTGATTTCTTTTAACATTTAACTTACCTTCAACCCTTAGCTACTGTGGATTGTGTATTGGGCTAATCAGCTTCTCCCATATTCGATATTACATTGTCGGGATCCATAAAGACATGCAATAATAATATGCTTTAGAATCGCATTAGCGTCATACAGAATATTTTTTATGAAGCTTCTGTTTAAGTGTGAGTGTGGGTTTGGTTTGAGGGTGAGTGCTGTTTAGTTATTAAACAAAACCAATTCAATATGTCAAATAATTCCTCGTGAATTCCCATTTTATATAAATGGCAACTTTAATTTATAGAGGTCCGAAGTGCTCTACCAATCGATAATGGGGAATCTACGGCGGTTTCTACTCTGCTAATGGCCCCAGCAGGATTTAGGCCATTGACAATACCATAGAGTTGATGTTGATGTAATATCAACACACATGAGAGTGTTGTAACCAGTGCTGTGATGTCATGTAAAACAGACTAGAGACGTTCATACAGGACATACACACATATAGACAGGCACCATGAGCTTGATGAATAGTGTTGCCCGCATTACATCCGCCAATCTGATAAAAAATGCTCAGCGTTTGCTAGCATTCTCCAACGTTCCATTGCATTCTGGCGCCATTGGTCGAGTCTTGATAATCCAGTGATTAAAGCAACGTTGCTTTTTACCTCTGGTACAAGGACACGCCATCCAATAGAGTCTGATCTTTCCACTACAAAGTGGCTCTACCACCAGTACGAAGCTGCGGGAAGAACACCTCAATACGTAGCTGCAATGCGGCGTCATTTCGTGCATATGCCTCTGATATGGTATAGCCAGTTAAACTTGATGATACGTGTTTATATGCAGTCTGGAAGTCACTGAATGTAAACTATGAGTTCCACACAGCCTTGAATGATGGTACCTTACGTGTTGCGTGTATGGGCGGCGGGTGGTTCTGTTGGGGCTTCTTTTGGAATACATACCTAACCCAGTGATTGAATTTATGTGTATTCAACTATTATACAGGTTAACCATTGTTATGACGAACTCAATCTCCGAAAACGGAAAACAATTAGCCTGATATCATCGAAGTCCATGAAAAATGACATGACAAAACAGTTTGTTGTACTCAAGTAATAGGTAATAAAACTTAAGCTTCACTGCCATCAAAAAAGGCCATTGAACCGGTAAACTAACATCTCGGAGGTCAGTCTTCAAACACAACATATCCATATATATAATCAATATATTACCTAAAGCCTTTTGAAACAGTATTTTCGAAGAATAGAATTGGGTAATTTAAACCATGCCATAAAAGACCAATGTAGGGTTGCACCCCGCAGACGTGGGAAGGTCCGGGTTAGGGAATATTGATCTTCAAAACCCATACTTTGTCGTAAGCGAGGAGACTAACGGGATAGGGTGTTTAGACACGCTGACGTGGTTGACATTACGCCATCGGTTCTCAAGGTGCACAGACGATGCTCATGCTGTTTTATCACTGGATTGTCTGGTCCAGACTCAGGTTATCGCTAGACGGCCGCATGTAGTTGGAATATTGCTGCGGGTGTGAAACTAAACTTACTCACTCACCAGAAGAACTCTGCATATAAACATGAATGTTTGAAGATGTTATTCTTTAATTCCTATCAACATCTGCATTCCATTGTGCGCATTACATTATATCATCAATGGCATTTTCAGAGAAAACACATCCTATTTTAGACGTTGGTTTGTTAGAATAACACCGCACTTCAGCAACATTCCTGTTCTTGACAGCGACGGTCTGGAATTGATGGAACAAGACAATCCAGATGAATCTCGCCATGAACATCGATCTACTTCGATTACGGACACGCATGACATGCAATCGTGATCTACCTTCAGTTGTTGGCGATCTATAGCCCGTTTTTAACTTGTGCAGTTTCGAAAATAGTTTATGGTTTCTGCTGGTTTTAAATTTCATGTGTGATAATATTTTAATGTCCTTTTGTTTGACATATTATTCCATATAGTTCCTATTAACGCTTTTATTAATATATAGCTGTTATAGTGGCAATAGGGCTGAAATTGCAGCCACTCACTCACTCATCCGTCTTCGTAGTGGTGGTAAATAAATCAAAACGAAACGGTTCCACCAGTATCGACTTTTACTCAATACAAAGTGGCTATACATCATTGTACATGCTTGTGCTTCTTCATCACCACAAGCACGTCAGCAGACTGACGTTCCCCTGTACGGACTTAGTTGCCTCCATGCCTCCAGTATTTTCAGACTGAAAAAAATATGTGGAGGTTATAGCAAAGTAGAACACAAAAACACAAATGTCACCTTGCGTTTATAGGTCTTTTGACACAGATGTTGTACGTGCTGACATTTAAGCAGAACGTGTTTACGAGGAATCAGATGCTAAACTTAGTTTGTTCAAAAACAACATTATACTTCTGTTGACACGATTTGATAATAAAGGTGTTAGTGTACGATAAATCAGAACACATTTATGGCTGCACTTTCTTAAGGATCCATTATTCTTTGACGAACTGGTTCGCACTTTTGTCACCTACATAATGTTGAACATAATGCCCGTATTATCGTTAACACTTCAAAAGACGTAGATATTGAAATTACTAAAATATATTTCAATTAGTAATATTAGTCGTATTCAAATGATTTCATATCTTGTTTGATAAGACGTATTGCCAACGGTTTTATGAGCACACGTTGCTTAATTTGCAACCTCACCAGCAGCGACAGTACGGTGAGAAGTAATCCTTAATAGAATCTGACAGTAATATAGGGACAAAAACGATCTGGTTAGAGATTGTAATGTGACTGTTAGTCTTCGGTGTCGAACATGGAGAACGGTGCATCTAGTATTTATTATCATTATAATTATCATTGTTTTATTTTTTCTATTGTAAAAATCTTTCACGAGAAGCATAAACAGATGTGATCTGAAGTTCTCTATCATTCCAGTCAGCATATTCTTTAAAACGTATAAATAATTGATTGTATGTACGTTTGTTGTACATGATGCGCAATGTACATGGCACATATGTGAAACAAGTGCAAGGACTATATTCCACATCTATCATGCAAACACAACTCACACACCATGAACGCAGAGTGAGTGATTTTAGTTTTAAGCCGCACTCAGCAATATTCCAGCAATATGGCCGCGTTCTGTAAAAGGAGAGTTCCAGGTTGTTTAAATACCATTTTACCACAAAAGAATGGTTTGTAATAGTTTAAAAGTTAGTGGACCGGTTCATTTTTAGACAGACACAGATTACCTTTTCACTCATTCTCAGCTAAATGCAAAATTTCAAAATAAAAAAAAAAAGGTATTTAGATATTGCAAGAAAGCTATTGATTTAAAAAAAATACATTATCTAACGTATTTTAATCCATCATTGGGGGACCCAAATCGTACCTCAAATTGAATCACTGATAATGTAGGTAAAAATCTTCGTAATCAGATACGTTACGCGCCATATACCTGTTCAGTCTCAGATATGATGCACTCCTCCAACTTCTGTATCAAAATAAGTACTCTGTTGTATGAAGAAGAGGTTCGTCTTTGGTTTGGAAAGACATACAGTCTATTAAGGACTGATCACAGAGGCTCATGCACTAACACAAACTTGTATTTTCACAGACACCTTTTACAAATCTTAAAAGAATAACAACAAAACTGATTGAACTGTGATGAGCCGTTTAATCATAATCAGAGCAACATGAATCAAAAGTATCACCCATGAAAACCAAAACAAGTTCTGGGTATATGAGAAATAATATACTATACTTACAATGAAATTCTTCAACTGTCAATATGTAACGTATTTGATGCAAACTTTAACTAAATGTTGAACGTAATTTGATGCAAACTTTAACTAACTGAGGTTTTGTTGTTTGGAAATCGGGAAATGTTTTCATTTGACATATCTAAATGCCTTTTCAATACATGTTACATCAGCTGTACCAATGGTGAATTGGCGCGTGATTTCCCAATGGCAATAGGGTCCTCGATGAAGCAAAGTACATCATCAAAGTTGGTCCAGATTTCATCAGGATGAGTTGGCCACCTGTATGTATGTTGCTGGCCAGAGTATGCTGGCCACCTGTATGAGTTGCTGGCCACCTGTATCCAGAGTTGCGTATGTGTCAGAGTTGCTGGCCACTTGTATGTGTCAGAGTTTATCCATGTCTCCAGAAGGTTACTTTGGCATCACAGTCATCAGTGTCAACCTCAAGAACTTTCCCAACATACAATTTTACATCGTAAGTAGCAGCAAGATACTTCCAACAACTGGGATGGAAGGCAGTGAAGATGACGAGACATCAGGTTCAGCAGCTGCATCTGGATGTCTAGGGATACGGTTCTGACACCATGGTGACAAACGCCAACTTTTACAACATTTCCGAGACATCCGGCACAGTAGCAAGAAACAATGTTTCAGAAGAGCACACCGTCATTTAATCAGAACTGCATGTTCTTGGAACTACTTTAGCTTTCGACATTTTTAGCTGTTGTGCAGTTTCCTACAATAAAATCCATACTGCGTTTAGCGCGAAGCGGGTGATATAGTATTAGGCTCCGTCTGTCCGTCCGTACGTACGTACGAATTGGAATATCTTAAGAACCGTTGACTAAATTCTTTTCATATTTAATACCTAGGTTCATAACAGTATAAGAAAGATTCCATTCAGGTTTGGTGACCTTGACCTGTATTTCAAGGGGACTTTAACGTTTTACCCGTGTCAGCAAGATATCTCAAGAACCGTTCACGATTTTCTTCATATTCAACACCAAACTTTATCTAGGGAAGGCGCAGGGCCCAGTCGATTTTGGTGACCTTCACATAATTGTCAAGGTCACGGCGACACGTTGAAGATTT